GTTGGGAAAGTGTGAAGGCAAGAGGAGAAGGGGACGACAGAGGACGAAATGGCTGGACAGTGTCATTGAAGTTACCAACATGAATTTGACCAAACTCCGGGAGGTAGTGGAAGACAGGAGGGCCTGGTGTGCTCTGGTCCATGGGGTCACGAAGAGTCAGACCCGACTTAACAACTAACCAACAACAAAAAATGTATAGCTTGGTCTCTGTCTCCTCTAGTGACCAGTTCTGGTAACTTCATTGTTAAAAATATATATGGGGGGGTTCTTTTAATATTTTCAGATTGTGGATAAGTTGATGAACAGGTATTGATCCTGTGGATAAGGGGTCCTACTGTAAATAAATATTGTTAATAATAGTTGCCGTTCACAGCTACAGTTTGCAAGGCTCAGGTAACACAAGGGGTCAAGTAGATTCCACCTGGCTCCTAAAGTTCTGAGCATCTTGTGGCAAGTGAGGTAGTGTGGAAAGGAAGAAGAAGACAATGCCACCAACAAGTACCACCTGAAGGGAAATGGGGCCCCTGGGCTCTTATAGGCAGGAGACATGAGCTCCATAGGCAGAAACAGTAAATGGCTCAGATCAACACCATGCAAATAGAGGTAAATTTCATTTAATTTGAATATCTTGAGGTAATATTCAGAATTATTTCAGTTAATGGAGGTTCTGACAAACAGGAATTGTATTTACAGTAAGCTTGCAACAGTGCTTTAATAAGCTTATGAAAGAATAAATGAGATAAAATGATGTTTGGGGAACATCTTTCCACTAAAATGTTAGATCTGGAATTACATTTAACATTAAAAGAAAAAAAGAAAAAACAGAACAAAACAGAACAACTGCTTTTGAAAGGAAATATATAAGACATCTTAAAAACAAAGCTTCAAATGCAAATTTTTAAATGGAGGGCAGAGATGAGATAAGGAGACTACGAAAAATAAAATTAAAAATAGGAATAGAAACACCACCTGCTGCTGGAATTGATAAAAATCTTTCCTACTCATATAAATTTTTGCTTCATTCCACAGGCTACAGACAGAGATAAGAACATTCAATTATTGCATTGCAAATGTTCAAAGTCAAAGAAGTACACAATACAACAGAATAAAAAATTTCTAGGAAAAGTTGGGTAATCAAGCATACATTTATATCTCACAGCATTACCGACAGTAAAGATTTGTGTTAATGCATTTATATAAGTTATGTGTTAACAGACAATCTGTACTGCCCATAGCCAAAGCTCTTTGAGCAACTTACAAAATAAAGGTCAAAATCCAAAAAATATATAAATAATATAAATCTAAAACAGCCACAAAATTAAGCCAGAACAACATTAACAGCAGAGGACAGTAGCAATTCAAAGATTCAAAAAAAGAGTACATTTAAAATGTGGAGTACATTTACATGAGTAAAATGGGGGCTAGACAGTGCTACTGTTCGGTGGATTTGTAATTGGTTGACTGACCGAACCCGGAGGGTGCTCACCAATGGCGTCTCTTCATCCTGGAAAGAGGTAACTAGTGGGGTGCCTCAGGGTTCTGCTCTGGGCCCTGTGCTATTCAACACCTTTATCAATGACTTGGGTGAAGGAATAGAGAATATGCTGATTAAATTTGCAGGTGATACCAAATTGGGAGGGGCTGCTAATTCCCCAGAGGACAGGATTAAAATTCAAAATGACCTTGACAGATTAGAGTCCTGGGCCAAAACTAACAAAATAAATGTCAACAGGGAGAAATGTATGTAAGGTCCTACACCTAGGCAGAAAAAAATGAACTGCACAGATATAGGATGGAAGGCACCTGGCTAGACAACAGTACCTGTGAAAGGGATCTAGGACTCTTGGTAGACCACAAACTGAACAGGAATCAGCAGTGTGATGCGGCTGCCAAGAAAGCCAATGCAATTCTTGGTTGCATCAATAGGACTATATCTAGATCAAGGGAAGTGATAGTATCACTTTATTCTGCTTTGGTCAGACCTCACCTGGAGTATTGTGTCCAGTTCTGGACACCTCAATTCAAGAAGGATGTTGACAACCTGGAATGTGTCCAGAGGAGGGTGACCAAAATGGTGAAAGGCCTGGAAGCCATGTCCTATGAAGAGCAGCTTAGGGAGCTGGGAATGCTTAGCCTTACAAAAAGAAGGTTAAGAGGGGACATGATAGCCATGTTTAAATATCTGAAAGGATGTCATGTCGAGGAAGGGACAGGTTTGTTTTCCATGGCTCCAGACACTAGGACAAGGAGCAGTGGTTTCAAACCACAGGAAAAGAAATTCCACCTGAATCTTAGGAAGAATTTCTTAACAGTCAGAGCTGGTCGGCAGTGAAACAGGCTGCCTCGGAGTGTGATGGAGTCTCCTTCTTTGGAGGTTTTTAAGCAGAGGCTGGATGGCCATCTGTCGGGAGTGCTTTGATGGAGTTCCTGCATGGCAGGGAGTTGAACATGATGGCCCCTGTGGTCTCTTCCAGCTCTGTGATTCTATGATTTGTAAAAAAACTGAATTACAGAATAGATTGGAAGAATAAAGAAGTCTTCAGTCGGTACTCAAAAGACCACAATGTAGGTGCCAGGCAAGCCACCAATCCCAAATTGTCACCTGATTCATCATATTTAGGAAGGAGGCCTCAGAAGATGTCTTCTGTGTCTGGGCTAATATACGGCACAGCAAATTCTCTTTCAGGAAAGTAGCCCCAGGCCACTTAGGGAACTAAAGGTTAATATGAGCACTTTGAATCAGGCCTAGACGAAGGAAGGAAATCAGTGCAGGTCACAAAGCACTGGCACACTGTGATCATGCCGTCTAACCTCAGTTAGCTACGTTATGTAGAGTAGCTGAAAATTTCAAATCTGTATTCAAACAGAGCTCACTACAAAAACATGCATAGCTATAATCTGATCAAAAGGTTTCAGTGCATGGATAATTTTGGCAGGCCATCTCTGTCCAAATAAGGTTACAGCTAGAAATGGGCAGAAATTGCTACTTTAGTGGGGGTTTGTTTATCAGCTGCCCAGTTGACCTGTGGCCACTGTAAGGCAGCGGTCCAGATACCCTACCCTAACTCCTCCAGGCACTGCCTCCAAATGGCCACAGATCAGCGGTGCAGCTGATAAATGAACCACAATGGTTACAGCTGTTATATTATTTCAGGTTAACAAAAAGCACTTTTGCACATGGAAGCTGCTTGTGCCTTCAGTAACAATGCTGGATTTAAGAGCACTCCCCAAAGACAGGCCAGACCCTTTAGGACAGTGCAGAGGATCACATGCCCCTACAGATGTTGCTGGACTGCAACTCCCATCAGCCATAGCCAATACAGCAATTTTGAAGATGAGAGATGCAACTCCCTGACTTCTAGACCACCACAAATTCCCTTCATTCCATTCATTAGCACTGGAGGCAAAACAGAATCCTGAGTAACACCACAAGGCAATAGTCAGGGCATCAAACAGGAGTCTTCCAGCACCACCTTTTAAGTTCTCCCTTCTAGAAAGGACTGGAGCCATTACAGAACACTAGAAATGCCATCCCAAAGAGACAACCCAGAAGGATACCACATACAATGGCACTGAAAGCGCCGACAGGTCCTACAGAACCAACTGGGTCACAGTCCCCCTGCTAGTTCCCAGCGTAAATCATCCATCAAAGCAGGCTCCATCCCATAACCAGGCTTGAAGCCAGATTGAAATGGATCTAGATAATCTGTTTCAGCTGGACGGAAGCAAATCTACAAGCAACTCCTTTAAATGATGAGTAGGCTTATTTGTTGCATATTGGACTTTGATGTTATTTTTGCAGATTTATTGGCTTTTCTTACGCAAGTTCTCTATGATACTGAAATTTCAGATACTTGCATTTCAGAATACAGGAATAAATAGTCTACACATACAGCTATAGGTGTGCTGCAAATGTTTGACTCCAATATCATCTTTGAAATGTGAAAATACCATTGTGCTCATTTCCTGAAGCCTCCTGCATGTCTCCAATTAATTCGATTATGCAGCTGCTGATTGGAATTGACAACAACCTTTGCTTTTGAAGCTATGGCCACAGAGAGAACAGTATTTTTTCTTTTCTGGTATGGCAAAAGAAATTCATTACTGAATGTGTACAAATCCTGCTAACCATCAAAACACTGTCAAGGTTACAAGGAAAAAGGGAGGAAGTGGAAAATGATTTAAAAATAGACAAACAGGGACAGTTTACACTAAGCTAATTCAAATGAAAGTGCCTTGCACTGACTTTATATAATTAATTACAATCATCCAATTTCTCTTACCTCTATCCCTATTAATCTAATATAATTGCTATAGATAAGTATGTTTCTGACTAGTCTAAAGTGGGTTTAAAAATCTCCAGTAATCAAAAACTCATTCCCAGGGGATCTTTTGGAAAAGACATTCGTGTTTTATAAAGTAGTCTGAATTAACATAACCTCTTCCCTGCAGGCCTGAAACTCACAATTAATTAAGCAATATGGTGCTCATTCTTGCATTCAAAGAGAATGGGTAATATGCTGTTCCAGATACACCACATGCTTTTGGTGGCCATCGTTTAACCTCTGTGAAACAATCTGTTAGTAGAAGCAGCTCTTACCCAGCAAGGGCAACAAAGCACTGATCCAGCTTCTTATATGGTTCAGGAAGCATATGACTCTTAAACCACAAAACAAGGGGCTACTGATAGTCTGCTATCAGAGGCAGCACAGGCTTTAACTAACACTTATGACAACAACAGTTTGAAATTAAATTTTGGACGAGCAAACTTCATGGAAACTTACTGCAGAAACGATTTAAATTCAGAGGGATCCAGATTCTCCAGATTTATACATTCATCTTCGGTTAGAGTATTTAACCTTCTCCCACAGACACGGAAGAAAAAATCGGGAACTCTTGCTACAAGCACTGCCTTGTGAGCTTTAAGAAGAGTGCTGCCAACACAGAATGTGATGTCTGTTTGGATCTCCTCTAGAAGAAGCCTGCAACAAAGCAGAGGTAGCTTCACTACCAAGCCATAAGGGAGGCTAGCAATAAATCTATTGCAAGTTATAGCATATCAGCACTTCACCAAGTACTGTACTAGAGAATTCTCCATTGCAAGAGGAAACAAACCACAGAGAGATTTTAGTGACCAGAGGAGAACATACAGTACAGTACTTTTGTTTGGTCAGATTGATAGTGATATGAAACCCTCAGGAGAGGGGGGAAAAGGACATCCGGCTTCAGGGAAGAGAACCTTACATATCTAATTAGATGAAATGCTCCTCTGGAATCTTCGTCAAAATCCTAATTTACATTTCCACAAAGTTAATTTTTATCGTACACAATTCTTTCCCACTTGCTCTTTCTGGTGAGGGGGAAATGTTAAGAATATAATTTTAAAAAATTCTTAGGGTGTACTGACTTATCTCCAGCACACACCCAGTGAGTTATAGGAAGCCAACCTGGTTGTAAGGTGCAGTAAGAAACTGCGGAAACACTACAGAATGGTCCACTAGACTAAAGGAAATCCCGCATTACTGAGGAACACTCAAAGCTGTTCCCTGACTCTCTGAGGAGTCTCTCCTAGCAGTGAGTTCCCACTGGGGCATCAATAACAGCAATCCCCCCTGACGAAAGAAAGGGCTCCTGCAACAGTGACGACACACTCTCTGTGCCTACAGCGTTTATCGTCTTGCTTTTCCAAAACGTCTTCTCTATCGCACCTTTATTGCAGGAGAGTGTTTGCTTGCTGGATCTGTTTCTTTATGGCCCCTGTGGATGCTTCCACGTTCAAAAAGGATGGGTTACATAATTCAAACCCAGCAGCACGTGCAAGATGTCACGTCTGTGAGCCACATACGTATTTGGTTGAGTGCATGTATAATGATATTGCCTCCTTGAGAGGATACCCCCCAATACATGTTACACACCTAAGAGACAGGCAGGTCCAGCCCGTTTCACCATGGAATTGTTTGCCCGTGCAAGGAAACGCGTCGCGTGTGAATGGGGCAGAAGGTGCTCTCCCTGCCCCTGGTCCTAGTCTCTGACCCAGGGCACAGCCTTTTGCTCCCACCACCTACTCTTACCTCTTCATGTCCCGACTCAGTTGATCAGCTACCATGTTTTTCAGCCTCCGCCTCTCCGAGGCACCCCTCTCGCCGCCTTTGCGCCCCCCTTCTTCCCGGCTCCCCCCGGGACCCCTTGAGACAGTGTTCCCCCCACCAGACGCCATAAAGCCCCAAACCACCCGGGCTGGGCCTTGGGGTGTCACGTTCTGCAACAACGACCGTCTGTAAAGAGGATTACGATTAGCAGACGGTCCCTTAGCTACGCCGTTCGAGCGGCCCTCCTAGAATGCACGACGCAGATCTCCCGCCGGCACGTTCCCTCTTCCTGAAAAAGCGAACGCCTGTACAGTATTCTACGCTATTGGCCCTTCGCTCCATCAAGGGGATCTCTCAAAATTACGCATTTTAAAGGGACTACAACCGTGCCGGAAGCCTCTTCTGTTTGGGTAATGAGAAAGAAAAGCTCCTCCCCGCTTCTTTTCATTGGACAGAAAATCGCTCTTAGGCCAATCCCTTTCCTCCTTGTGGTTAGAGTAGCTGAGTCCCGCCTCGCGCTTTGTTTACCATCCTTGCTTGCTCGCACATGGTGGTGCTTGGTTGCTGCCTGACTAAGGCTTGTTGAGAGAATGGCTGAACAGCCCAGGCGTTTGTCGCATGCGGGGAGGGATGCACAAGGGAAAATGCCATGAGTGCAGAGGCTGCGGATAACCCGTCAGCAGCAGCAATGCTGTCAGGATGACGGTGCTTAATGGAATGGGGTTTCTGCTTGCAAACGACAGCGTTGCTAGCATGCGCACTAATGCATGCTAGAAAAAAATGAATTATGTAATCGTGTACAGCGGACAAGTTGTGTACATTTTGCTAATTTTAATTATTTGATTTAGATGTCAAATATGCAGAGCTGTGTAGTGCGCATCATAGGACAATGATACTCTACCCCATGCTTTTTACAGACTCGTATTTCAGTTGTGAAATCGTGCAATAATAAAATGGAAGGAAGAATGACATTTCTGAATATGTGTGACCAGTTGGTATTATGGGTTTGAGAAAGAGAAAGGAACCAAGACATTGGTTTTGTCTTGTTTTGCGTCTCTTGTTGGAATATTTACAGAACCAGACTTCACAACTTAATTCCATATACCACGAGCCTGGCATGAATGTCTTACTGTGTGATCTCTGTATTCTTACGCATATGTCTGAAGAAATGGATGAAATTCCACAAAAAAAAACACTGACATTAAAATGTCTTTAGTCTTTAAAGTGCCACAACTTTTTCTTTTCTTTTTTCTTACTGAAATGCTTGCACAGACTTAACAGGGCTACAACTCCGAAAACTGAAAAATCAACATATCTGTTTCATTGGGTACCAGAAACTCTTCAAAGCCTCTTTCCTTGTTTTTTGGATATTTCATCAAAAAAGGCATTGTTGTTTTTAGTCTTGTACAGTCTTAAAAGAAAGCAAGAAACTTGATGCAATAAATGAAAATAGCAACAACATAGTCCTTGATTTATGGCCTTTAAATGTTTATTGGCCACCTTCAGGGTGACCTCCCAAGGTAAAAACATACGTCCTGAATGAAATCATAAGGTGGCATACAGTATGAACTCACAAAGTCAAACAACACTGGCCAGGATTCTGTTGGCTATTCCTGCTTGTGTAAATGCAATGACGTGAAGTGTAGCAGTGAATTTCTGCTAATTAAGGCATTACTTGTTATCTCTTAATACTGCAGCAGTCATATGAGCTCGTGTACCATGAGGGACCCTAGCAATGATTCATCATAAGCTGTAGTTCGCCACAGCCATTTACTCCACTGCATGTACACTGGTATAAATAATAGGATTCTCATCATTATTTCAAAGTTAATATGTCTCAATACATTCAGTGGCATTAGGAGATTTTTTTAATTGACTAATGGTGGACATAGCAATCTGAGATTTAAATTTTGCTGTGTCAACCATGGTTAGGGTAACATTAAAAACTAGTGTTTCCCAGTAATTAAACATTCTATGTAAAGGAGCTCTGTATTAATACAGTATATGATAAACTACACAGAAACATTTAAAAAGTCTGAATGTAACTTCCACTTGATTTATATTTCCTGGTGTACAGATCCTGCCTTAACTGATGTATTCTGTACCTGCTGCTTGTTGGTTATTTGTATTTTGGAGATGGAAGTAGCTAGGGTGGGGAAAATCTGCTTATTCAGAAGTTGCATCTCAAGACGTAGGCATAATTTTAGCAGTAAGCTTGAAATAAGTTTGAAACTTAATTTGGAATACAGTATGTTGTTTTACTCTTTGGCCAAATTGATTTTATGTCAGTTTACAGAAACATCTTTAAATTTTTAATTATATGTACAATTTTTAGATCAGTTCTAAATAAGTGGACATGAAATCTATCCAACCAGCTTCAGTGGGAGCTCTTTGCTTTTTTAAAAAAAGTGTTTCACTTCTGTATGAGTTGCTCATTCAATAATCTCTATCCATAAGAATGCAAATAACATGATGGCTATCAGTTTGGAAAGCTAAATGCAGCTATCATGGCATTTCTTGCCAGCTGTAATAGAGAAGTATCACAAAGGGGTTAACTGTTATCCTAAAGTCATATACTCAGAAATGTTGCTATAGAACACTGGGTCCAGGACACAACATTAGTTGCAGTTTATTAGAACAAGGCAATACTAGGATACATATGTCATGACCATAGTTCATTTCAATTTTAGTTTTTGAAATATGTGAATAAATCATAACACATTTGTTCCAGTTTACACCATCGCACAAGCAGTTATCAACTTAACTACAGTTATCTTTGATTTGCTACTTTATGATTTCAAATGTGCCCCGACAAAAGTGTTGTTTTCTTTAGATTTCTACAGTAATATGTAGCCCAAAAAATCTGTTAACATTTTAATGGTAAAAATATAGTAAAAAAAATTCCAACCAGTAGAATGAAAATTGATCTTTATACTAATATAACTTCTTTTACTTCTGGTACCTCTGCACTGATTCATCGTTATAAATTTGTAAAAGGCACAACACATTAGAATCTTAAAGCAAGTGAGTAATCAAAACTAAGCAACTTTCTATGAGTTCCTTATTGTACAAGCACAAATATTTTAAGGCAAGTGTTTCATGTGCAAAATACAGAATACACGTAAAACCAACATTAAAGTTACATATTCGTACACCACCGTCTCATAATAACATTGGAATCAATACATACAGTACATTGAAAACATTTTCTCTAGCAGAGCTCAGTCAAAGATTTGCTGCAAATATGGCCCTGATCACAATTAACTTTGAGCTTTTAACACTTAGATTGTGCTGGAGAAAAAAGTCACTCTTTTTTTCTTGACTCTTCTTTTAGAAAAGTCCATATCAACTTGTTCACAATGTCAGGCTGGTCCTGCTGGAGCCAGTGGCTGGCTTCAGACAGAATAGTAAGTCTAAAATGATTTTTGACATAGATCCTTGTTATTTCAGCCATCTCAACATCCATAAAAGGATCTCTTTCTCCCCATAGCAACAGAGTAGGCATGGTGACCTCATGGTGCTGCAGAGGCAGACAACTTGGAAAAAAAAAACATTGCTTTCATTATTTCAAATAACCATGACAAATTACAGTAGTTGGTTTAGATACACTTCCCAGCCTGGCATCCCAACTTAGCACAGAGGACCCAGCACAGAAGCATGTTCCCATATGTAGCCAATAAGGATGCTGGTGCACATCAGGATCTACTTTATAGTACATACTCAGAATGATTCATTTGAACTAATGATCTATCTTTCACTGAAGACAGAAATCCCATCCAGCCATTAAAAGGTACACTGAATCAATATGTAAGGAGGGGAAGTACCTTGGATCTGTCTCCTCTTCAGTACTGTTGTCACCCTCTTACAAGTGGAAGAAGATGAGTCTGAATTGGAAAATCTTCATATGAATTAGAAACCTGATTTTACAGAACTCTAATTCATGTGCAGAGACTGGCTGGATAGCTCACTGAACTGATAACTTGCTGAGGAGTTTGATTGCTTTTTGTGTCTCCTGGGAGAACAGCCAGCCTATGTAGACTTGGGCAAGCTGCATGGTCCCAGGGCACTCCCAAGAAGAAGGGAATGGTAAACCACTTCTAAATACTATACTTCCTGGCAGGGGTCTCCATAGGTTGGAATCTACCTGATGACACATAACTATTATTAATTCATATGAAAAGCCACATAGATGCAGGAGGTTCTGCCCATTTGATTTGTCACTTTGCATACACAGGAATTAACTTACTGTCTCCAACAACCTCCAGAAAGTGTCTTCAGAGGAGCTCTCCTCCTGAATGATATATTCTGGGACAAGGGGATGCATCCATGAACCTCTTACATTTAATCCAAACATGATTTTAGGTAGTTCTTTCAACCCTCCACAGAGCCCTATACACCACACTGTTCAAAGGCTACCCCCAGTCTTCCATAGATACTTTCTCAGGTATTCGGAGGTTGTAAAGTTAGGGACAGGAAGCTTCTGCAAACTTCTTTAAGGCCCCAGTTCAATGTAAATATCCCTAGAAGCAAGCTTCATGAATACATCTGTGTCAACATGCAAATAGTTGTGTTGTAATTTCGCTTCTGATTCAGACTATCTGGCATTACTCAGAATGAAGTTCCAGTGAATTCAATCAGATTTAACCTTGGGTAAGATCTACAGATATGTAGGTCTGAAGCTCAACATAAAAAAAACCTCACTAAGATCATGGCCACTGGTCCCATCACCTCCTGGCAAATAGAAGGGGAAGATATGGAGGCAGTGACTGATTTTACTTTCTTGGGCTCCATGATCACTGCAGATGGTGACAGCAGCCACAAAATTCAAAGACGCCTGCTTCTTGGAAGGAAAGCAATGACAAATTAAGACAACATCTAAAAAAGCAGAGACATCACCTTGCTGGCAAAGGTCCGCACAGTCAAAGCTATGGTTTTTCCAGTAGCAATGTATGGAAGTGAGAACTGGACCATAAAGAAGGCTGACCGCTGAAGAATTGATGCTTTTGAATTGTGGTGCTGGGGGAGACTCTTGAGAGTCCCCTGGACTGCAAGGAGATCAAACCTATCTGTTCTGAAGGAAATCAACCCTGAGTGCTCACTGGAAGGACAGATCCTGAAGCTGAGGCTCCAATACTTTGGCTATCTCATGAGAAGACTCCATGGAAAAGACCCTGAGGTTGGGAAAGTGTGAAGGCAAGAGGAGAAGGGGATGACAGAGGACGAGATGGCTGGACAGTGTCACTGAAGCTACCAACATGAATTTGACGAAACTCTAGGAGGCAGTGGA